TCAATGTAATCCATCATATAAATAAACTGAAAGAAAAAAACCATATGATCATCTCATTAGATGCTGAAAAAGCATTTGACAAAATCCAACATCCCTTTATGATAAAGGTGTTGGAGAGATTGGGGATACAAGGATCAGACCTAAATATAATAAAAGCTATTTACAGCAAGCCGACAGCTAACGTCAAACTGAACGGAGAGAAACTCAAAGCCATTCCATTGAAATCAGGAACAAGACAAGGCTGTCCACTCTCCCCATACCTCTTCAATATAGTGCTAGACGTTCTAGCACTAGCAATATGACAACCTAAGGGGATCAAGGGGATTCGAATTGGAAAGGAAGAAGTTAAACTCTCGTTATTTGCAGACGATATGATAGTGTACATGAGCAACCCCAAAAACTCTACCAACGAACTCCTACAGCTGATAAACACCTTTAGTAATGTGGCAGGATACAAGATCAACTCCAAAAAATCAGTTGCCCTCCTATACACAAAGGATAAAGAAGCTGGGAGGGAAATCAGAGAAACTTCACCTTTCACGATAGCCACAAATAGCATAAAATACCTTGGAATAACTCTGACCAAGGAAGTGAGACCATATTTCTAATTCTCCTTTATTTACTCTTTGTCTATATCTGTTGTTACCTCTCTCAGTGAAGACATGAATTCTTCAATTGACATAGGAATGCTAATACGGACTTATTTCAAACTCTTGTGAATAGGTAGGTTAAAAAAGATTTCACAACATACACCAGGATAACTACAGTTTGTAAATCAGATCTAAGGCAGATCAATGGCTTTGTGAAGAAACTTAAACTCCTTGCTTTACTGTAGGAATTCAGTGTAATGTATCTGCTATGGAAGGTGAACAAAAAGGCTTGTGAAGATGGCTCAGTTGGTAAAATGTTTGGCATGCAATCTTAAGGAAGTGAGTTTGGATGTCCAACATGCTCATGAAAATCATGGTGAGGCTGTAGGCATTTATAATCCCAGCACTGGGAAGGCAGAAACAGAGAGGTCACTGCCTTTCCACAAGTCACTCAGCCTAGAGTCAAGTGGATGAATGTTACCAAAATTATAGTGGGAATTGACATAGGAAGACATTCAACACTGATATTTAATTTCTACATACACGTGCACATTTATAAGTATTCATACCTAAATATACAAGCACATATACAAATATCATCCTATAGAAATTAAGCACTATTTTCTATTCTGTTCTAAAATAAAATAGCTTCACTTTACAGTTGTATTTTTTGCTTTTATTAGTGTATGATTGAGTGTATTTGTGAGTGTATGTGTGTGTTTACTATGGCATGCATTTGTAGGTGAGATGACATTTTGTAAGAGTGTTCTTTACTTCTACTATATGTATTTTAGGGGTTAATCTCAGGTCTTCAGGCTTAGTTGGAAGCATCTTTACCCACTAAGTCATCTTGGAATCCCCAGATTAATTTTCCTTAAATTGCTGATCTTAAAATGGCAATCCTCATGTAATTTAAAAAATGATTTACTTTTACTTTTTTGATATTTTCAAGTTTTAAATGAAGCAAAAATTTGAATTACCTCATTTGAATGAAATTACTGGGATCTAAGGCTTTCAATAGAAAGCCTCAATAAGCTCAATGTTTTGCTTAGAAAACTGGGGGAAAACAAAAGAATTTATACTTTAATGTATTAATATACACATTCACGTATGTCTAAACTACAAATTAAAAATAAAGATGTTTCTGTGGTTTTGTAAAGTAATGGGTATTGATCATTTAATTCTCATGCTCTGGTGATTCTTGTCTTTTTGAATCTATGGTTATACTTATGGTTTAGTTACTTTTGGCCATAAAAATACTATTTTCATAAAACAGATAATTGCATTTTATATACATAACCAATGCAGCATCACATAACATCATATATTTTCTCAGAAGAAAATAAAATATTACTCTCTCTTGTTTTATGCATCATGCCATAAGAAGAAGAAAAACTATAATTGGGAGTTTCTATGGATTGCCTAAGTCCATTCGGTAAGGGGATCGATTCATTCCATATCTCAACTCCTTGTTCTCTACATGTTCTAGTGGATGGTTCAGATGTCTAATAAGCATTACATCTCAGTACATCCATACGGTGCTTATTAATGGGTCTGGTACCCAAACAAGTAAAATTAGTAAATCAAGTCATGGAATTAGTAAATCAACTCCTCAGAGTCTGTGGAGGATGTGCATTATCAGTGCATGGAAATCTAAACGTCAAAAAATGGCACATCAGGGAGATTTTACTCTTACTGGCTACTGGCTTAAGCTGGGGCTTTAATAGGCCAATGCATTCAGTAGGTTAGCCATTCCTATGATATCCATGTCTTCAGTCTGAACCATAGATGTGATACCTCTTGTATTCTGTAAACAAACAGTTCGTCATTATACATTATTTTATACATTAATACATTATGCATACATGTATTGACATTTAATAGTTAAACTACTAATAGAAGGAATTGTGATAACATGCTTATTTTGTGAAATATTATGATGCACATTATATTGATAATGTTCATCATGTTGTCATGTGTTTTTTATTATATATAAAAGCTCTGAAATAAAAGAAAACAGGCTTAAAATTCATGATAATTTTTATCTCTCATAGACATGCTATAGTTGTTACATGTTTATTACCATGTACACTCATGTGCATTTGGTAATGGCTTACCATAATTTTCGTGCTTAAATAGATTTTTTACTTGTTATTTTTATTTTTAGCTTATGTATTACTATTGATTATTATTGTTGTATGTTTGCTTTGTTTTTACGTTTGTGTGTATGGATGTGTGTGTGAGTTGAATACACATGCACAGCATTGAGATCAGAGGAAAACCACTGTTTCTGGGGATGGAACACAAGTTTTTGTGCTGGATCAACATACTCTTTAAACTGTTGAAACATCCTATTGACCTCTGACTACTTGATTTTGATGTTAATATATTAATGGTTATGAAAATGCTTAATATTTAATAGATTTCAAACACTATGCTTTGATTTGACATTCAAATAAAGCTATTTTTGTCTAGATAGAAACAAACTTTGTGCATAATTAAAATACTTACCATTATAGATAATATTTCAACTACATGTTTATTTGAAACCACTGAATACATTTTTAGATGTAAGAAAAAAATATATTTCAGCTTTTGCTAAGAAAAATGTTTGGGTTTTATACGAAACAGATGGAAAAATGTTTGTGAGTGTGTTCATGTGTGTCCTTGTTTTGGGGTGTCTGTGTCTTCCCACATATTTCTTGCATGCAGGTGCCAATGAGAGCCAGAAGAGGGCCTCAGATACCCTGAAACTGGATTTACTGGTGTTTGTCAATGCTTCATATGGGCATTGGACAAGGAATTCAAGTCTTCTATAAGAGCAGCAAGTGCACTTAAGTGCTTTTTATATTAATTAATTATAAAATTTAGATGAAAATATCTTCAGTTTCTTAAAAATATATGTCATTACATGTTTTATTACACTAATTTGAGAAATAATATCTGGTATGACATCACATTTTCAATGTGCAATTTATTTTCATTTATAATTCATTCATTTACACTTTGTACAAAGTATGCCTTTCCTCAGACCACAGTCTGAAGGAAAGAGTGTCAGGAATTTCCAGCACAGTTTTATAATTGCAGAATTTTATTTCTCTAGTTTGGTTTTGGTGTATTATGTGGTTAATGACAAAAATATTCTCAGTGAGTCAATTATTCTCCTGCTTAGTTTTTATTGTCAACTTGATAAGAGTCTAGTTTCACAAGGAAGAGGACACCTCAAAAGAACAAATGCCCTTGATTTGCCTGTGAATATGTTTGAGAGATTGTCTCTATTGATGTGGAAGGTCCCAGTCCACCATGATGTGTATCACCTATAGGCAGGTGGATCTGAACATCATAAGAAAACAGCTGAGCATGAGCCAGGAAGCATAACTTCTCTGTACTTTGTATTTGATCTTCTTGCCTGAGTTCCTCCATGATGATCTGTGATCTGAAATAATAAGAGGGAGTAAATCCTTGCCTCCCTTAAGTTACTTTTGGTCAAAGTGTTTTATCACACAAACAGGTTAAAACTAGAACACTTTCAGAACTTTCAAAGCATACTTTAAGTCAAACTAAAATCAGAAAATAAGTTTGGGAAAAAACATTTGCAGTACAAAATTGTGGAGTGTATTCCTTCATTAGTTTTAGATTCATTCATGATTATAAAACATATTAAACATATCCTCTTCTTCCATCCATTCTTTTTCAACCTCTTTTGGGTTCCTTTCCAATATCCCCCCAAATTCTCTTATATACACATGCATATGCATATTTAAGAATGCATATACTGAAAGACTATTTGAGTATACGACAATACTTGCAACATCTGCAACCTCTCTCTCTCTCTCTCTCTCTGGTTTATCGAGACAGGGTTTCTCTGTAGCTTTGGAGCTTGTCTTGGAACTATTTGAGTGTACACTCAAATAGTGTTTCCCATTTGTATAGCAATATAAAACTGATTACTGGATCACTGGCAACCTACCAGGGATCATGTCTATATAGAAAAATGGCTCTAATAATTAATATGTTGACTGCCTATAGGAGTAGGGACTTATGAATCCTCTGCAACCTATGCTGGATGTTGATATATTGACTGGCTGGATCTTATACAAGTGTTCTCAAGGCAACGACAGCTGTTGAGAATTATTGTGTGGAACTTCACTGGCATATCCAGATGACAATACCTGCAACATCTGCAACATCTCTCTCTATTTCTCTCTCTCTCTCTCTCTCTCTCTCTCTCTCTCTCTCTCTCTCTCTC